GACATCTTGTAGATTGTTGCTTTTAAATTGTCTATTGTTTTTACTTGTACTTGTTTTGTGGTGTGTGAGCTGAGCTGTGTGATGTTTTGTTTGTTTGTTTGACTGTACAGCACTTTGGTCTGGAGGTTTTAAAGTGCGTTATAAATAAATGTGTATGGTATGGTACCGGAGTCAGTGGGCAGGTAGAAGACGAGTCCGGTGAGGAAGGAGAACAGCATGCAGGGGATGATGACGTTGACGATGAAGTACAGCGGCAGCCGCAGCATCAGGAAGTGATACGTGATGTCCAGGTAGGGCGTGTCGGGGCAGCAGGTGTAGTAAACCCAGTGCTTCCAGCTCCTGTAGTCCTTCAACACCCACTCCCCTGACTCCATGAAGTTACTGAGGTCCGGACGGTCGCTGTCCTACACACAGGAGAGGAGGGACAAAACACAAGGATGTTAAAGGATAGGGTATATCTGGTGTATTATTATATATTTCTTATTGTCTCGTGCTTTTACATTAGTTTCTTTTTGTCCTATCGGTTTTGTCTAAATGTATTTATGCTGCTTTTTTAAATATATTTATTGATGTACACTTTGGTCAACACTGTTGTTTTTAAATGTGTTATAAGTAAAGTTGGATTGGATTGGATAGATATATTTTATTGATTGATGTACTGCATTCATAAACACACTTTAACATATTTTAAAAACTATTATAGAATAAGGAAAAAATAAACGTTTACCAGGTGTTTAAATATACCCAAAAGTAACTTATTGTTTTTCATTGTTTGTACATTTTTACTTTTATTTTAGTCAGTACTTCTGCTTTTACCAGAGTATTTTTAAACGCGAGTATCTGTACTTCTACTTGAGTAAAGGATGTGTGTACTTTTCCATCTCTGAATAGCCCTGTGTGTTTCTGGGTGTCACTGACCTGGTTGATGACCACCAGCAGCCCGTCGTAGGTCCAGGTCCCCAGCTTCATGCTGCAGTTCTGCAGGTCGAAGGGGAAGTGCAGCACGATGATCTCGCAGTAACTCTTAAAGATGGCCGGAGGGTTCCAGATGATGATCCCCGTGTGCTCCAGCAGGACTTTAGTGAATTGGATGATGGCAAAGTCTCCATCAGCACTGCAGAGGAGGAAGAGGAGGAAGAAGAGGAGAAGGGGTTCAGGAGAATACATTGAATATGAGAGTGTGTGTGAAGTTATGGGAGTGTGTGTGAGGATATAAGAGACAGAGAGTGTGTGAGAATATACGAGTGTGTGTGAGAATATAAAAGACAGAGAGTGTGTGAGGATATGAGAGAGAGAGAGAGACAGAGAGTATGTGAGGATATAAAAGTGTGTGTGTGTGTGTGTGTGTTTACTTGTTGTATAGCACCAGGTCAGGTTTCCATATGTCTGCTGAAGGGACTCTGATCTTCCTGATGCCTCCGTAATCAGCCGGATTCCACTTCAGATTCACATCTAACCATCGCTGGGGGAAAATAGGAACAATTAAGCATTTAAGTCTATTAACGCACTGATAAAAGCTGTATTCAGTTGTTTTATTTACAGCTAAAAGCCTAAATACATTGTTAACATATTGACTATATGTTTTTGTTTTCACATTTACCTGTTTCAGACGGACGTTACTGGTCACAATCTGGTTCACTTCATCCTGAGAGAGGCAGAGAAAAGACAGAAAACAGTCAGAAGCTTTCAGAACAGGCACCCAGACCCCACGCAGCATTCTCATCTGTTTGTCATTACTGGTGTCATTTTCTGGTTGCTAACAAACGCCATTGTAACACATAATCACTGATGTTCCGCTGTAACGGTGGTGGACAGAGTGCAGAGCAGAGTGGGCGAGCTGACCAATCAGAGCAGTGGGCTCATAGGGAGGGGGGGAGCAGGAGCTCCAACAAGGCGTTTAGGACAGAGAGTGAATACACATACTATACAGAGATGCTGTAGAGAAACCAATGTGATTTTAGAAAATTGCACAATATAAATTAGACCTCAACAATGGAATTATGATCAGTAAAAATGGCCATGTCATGGGACCTTTAATAATAATGTCAATGTACCCCCAAACTACAATGCGCATGCGCGGAGCTAATTCGCTTTGCATTTGGCTGATGGCTCAGAACGCACGTCGTGATTGGCAGGCAGATTTGAAACTCCATGGGAACTGTGGTCCGCGTGAAACAGGTGATTATCGTCTGAAAGTCTACTTTATGGAGAAAAACTTGATCTCAAAATCACCACGGTGTCCAACAAGTCGGAGAAAATGTTTTAAACCAAACAACTTGTGGGGAAAAAAAACACGTTTGACGCTGAGGCTTTATCCCGGGAAGGAGAACGTGGCTAACTGTTTGCACCTGTGTTACCTGGTCAAGAAAATGGACGTTGGGGATCATAACGGACTTTCTGAGAAGATTACCAAACATGAAAACGAAAGGATATCATTGTTCTGGTTTTCCTAGCAGAAGAAAGTTTGTTAAGACCGCTAATTGATATCCATCATCGACATGTTGTGGGGAACACTGCGACAATGAGAGCAGCAGCAACAACAGCAGGAGGATGAGGCCTGGAGCAAAAAGTGTTGAAGAAGGACTTAAAAAAGAGAGACTTTCAGGCTGTCATCCATCATTACAAACGGTTGGAGCTAAGGACACAGGAGAGCTTCAACAGTAAGAGATATTCAGTTTAATTTGTGTTTCTGGTGTCTATGGCTGCCACTTCTGAGATGCTCTGCTTGTGGTGGCTCTCCTTTTTGGGGTTTAGGGACTGATGTTTATCCATTCCTGGGGTAAAATGAGAACATTTGAGATTTTGTGCACTAATGTCCTATTATGAGGGTTATTTAATCCACTTAACACATTGTAAAGACCATAGTCTTCATCGTTAGCATAATTAAATTGGCAAAAGTTTTATAAGGAGAGCTACAACAATGAGCAACTCAGTTATATTTGCATTGTGGTTTGTGGCTGCTGTGCCATCACCGAGCTGATCATATATTTCTATGGGTGGCAAACCCCCAATAAGCATAACAGTTGTGAATATGCAGTGGGGTTTATTTATAAATCATTTTGTATAATAATCACACAAATTCCGTGTTTTATAGTAAGTAATTCCGTGTAATTAATTTATTGAATGTAAGGTCGGAGATCAGTGGGCGGAGCCTCTGAAATGTAGTCACTGTACTCAGGAGATTATTTTTGTGGGTACACACCCCCCCCCCCCTTTATATCGTGTCCCTCACGTTTCCTCTCCCCTTTTTGTAAATGTTCCACGTGAGAGGAGTCACTGTGAGGGATAACAAATGTAATACTGATTTGTTACATCTGTTGTCAGATTGTCAGTAATACAACGGAGATCGTCAAAACTGTATGCTGGTTCGGGTCATCCATGAACAACGCAAAACACAACGCAGAGACCGCTTAACGACACCGGTTACACATACATTAGTTAAAGGTACTCCGATGATTTAAAGTGCCTCAATTTAGGATTGCATTGACCCATTTTTGGGCTAAAATCTGGATTTCTTGTTTGGCTAATTGGTCCAGTATGGGCTGATGGAGCTACCTTTTGGTTGTGCTATTTCTATTTAAGGATTATTAAATGAATGGAAGTCCTATTTTTGCTTGCATCGTGAAGTACTTTTAAGTTTATGTGGCTTTGTTGAGACTCAGTTTCTGGATTAGGCCTTAATTGATTGAAGGGATTTCCATTTTAGATTTGTGCTGCTGTTTTGTGGCTGCTGTGGAATCAATAAACTGATATTATGGCTCAATGGTATTGTTGACATACATCCTAATAAGCAATTATAAGTTAAAGGGACACTTTTAATTTAAAATGCCTCCATTTCTTGTTAACTTGAAAAAGTGGAATTTGGTCTACTGGTTTGTTGATAAAGCTAAGATTGGTTGTTCTATCTCGAATTGAGAATTATTCAACTGATAACAAGTCCTGTATAATTCTTACACTGGCATTTCTACCATGTTGCCTACACTTTACTGTGGTGATGAGCATTGTGCATTTAGATCAGTTGTTGAACTAACTTGCTGATAGTGATTACCTGAGAATGGTCTAAACTTTTTGAGCAGTATAGAGAGAAGGAAGAGCTGTTTATTTGTATTTACATGTTGTGCTTGTTTTATGCTTCAGTGTGATGATATGCTTGTTGTGGCCCAAGCTTAGGCCTTCATTGGTTTCGAGGGATTTGGTTGTTATCATTTGGAAGGCTTTGGATCATTTGGTCTGCTTTGGCTTTGCTGAAAAAGCTGAGCTTGATTTTTATTTTTCCATCTGAGAATATAAGCTTTTTAATTTGTGCAATGTGCTTCTTTTGTGCTTTTATGGCCGCCGTGCCATGCCTGCAGTGTTGTTGTTATTTACACTAAAATGACAATCACCAAAGTAAGAGCTGTTTATATGTTATTTGCTGCTTGTGTTTTTATCTGTTATTGCCGCCGTGCCATCAGCTTGTTACGAGTTTGTGGTTCTGCAGAATGAGAGGCACTAATGTCACAAAGTCTCCTCACCTTGTTGCAATGTGTTGTTATTTACGCTGTAGCTGGATTAATGAGGAAGCAACCTTAACCTTACATTTTTGCATTGTTTTGGTTGCCATGACATCAAGTGGTGTAGGCGTTTGTGACTTTCTTGCTGTGATTGTATTGCAAATGAACGTTTAAAAGAGATGGACATTTTCCACTCAGTGCATGCACAAATTCACCCTTTCTGCCTTTACTGAGATGTTGTTCATACCTTCATCGTTGATTGCAGTACCAAGGACAGAGGCATAGCTCTCTCTTGGTGTTTTTCTCTGATCAATAGGACTTTTTGCTTGTATTGGATCATGCGATATATAAATAGTATTCAATATTATTAACATAGCTTCATTGAACATGGTATAAAGCAGAGCCTCGTCTCCAATTCATCAAATAGTTTTAAGTACCGCCCTGTTTTGCACTTCGTTATATCTTATAATATCCCTTGTAAATACAGTAGATACACATTGTGGTCATTTAAATAAATATCTATTAAGAATTTGAGCAGTTTAATAATATATATGTATAATTGGTACAGTTTAATTAGTTGTATTTATATCTGGTGCCGTGTAAGATTATGTATAATTTGCGCAATTTATTCAACTTTACGTATCATTTCTGCAGTTTAACAATATACATGTATTATTTATGCAGCTCTCTTATTATTGTTGTGAGACTCCCGCAGGCATGGCGGACAGAGCGAATCGATCCAAGGTCTAGGTGCACTTTAAAAAAATGTAGTGGCGATAGTGCAAGGTGCAATCTATGTACTCAATTAGTTGCTTGTAAAGGGGGTGACACAAGCAACTTAATGAAGCATTTGCAACCGAGACACTCATTGAATCTAAAACGGTGCAGCGATACTGCTAGTGCTATTAGTGCTAGCGGGCTTCAGCCGCGCCGTGTGTAAATGTGACCTGAGCGAAGGCTCGCAGGCAGGTTAGCTGCTGCGCACGGGTAATATGTTTTGTTTACCTGGGTGCAGTCTTGCAGGCACATCGCCTTGTCTTTTTTTAGTTTATTAACACCAAATTATTGAAAAGTATCGATAAGAGTATCGAAAAATACCGATACCGATAAGCAGTACCGGTATCGATAAAATCCTAACGATACCCATCCCTATTCAGCACATTTCTGTATTCAATGGAGGTTTCTCAATACTCTAATTTCCCCTCCTCGACTCCTCTGTCCTCCGGTAGTGACCCGGAAATGGATTTCAGCGCGCCGTGTTGAAGGACATCTCATTTCTCTAAATGCACACCGAGGATCGAGGA